CGCGGCCCGCACAGGGGCGTCCTCCAGTGGTGAGCCGCCCGCGCCCCCACCGCGGGGCTTCCAGGTGGGTGGGGGGAGGGGGAGTCTCTCTGAACCCCACCCCGGAGGAGGGGCGGTCAGGAGGGGGCCTCAGGCCACAGTGCAGACCGACCACCTGCTCTCAGCCCAGGAAAAGGTCTGAAAGGACGGCCGGTGACACCCAGGACCGGCGACTGTCGATGCTGGGTGCCTGGGCCACAGACAGACTGGGGACAGACACACACACACACACACACTCAGGAAAGGCCTCCAGGTCTGGACAGACAGACACACACTCAGGAAAGGCCTCCAGGCCCAGGTACCTGGGGACTTCCCTGGGGCCACACTTCTGGGGAATCAGTCCAGCCTGCCCCACCGGCTGGGCCTTGTTGGTTGAACTGACCCTCACATATACCTCTGAAAGTATGTGTTGTCCAGGACAGGAAAGGTTTTCTTAGTCTGAGATCCAGAACAGGATGTTTCCTAACTTAAAGCAAAGCAATTTTTAGCTGTAACAATGGATTCCACATCTTTTGTGAAATTCTCTTCTGGCTGTTTAAATAGAGGCAGAAAAAACTGGAAGGAAAATACCATTAGCCCTTGGGACACATGAAGCTTGTGGGTTTGTAACACTTCATAAGCAGGAAAATAATTTAATCCAGTCCTGAAACCTCAGTTTTATAAGGTGAATAACTAGTGGAAATCTAATTACTTTAAAAAAAAGCTTTAAGGAATATTTCTCAGGAAAGACTTTCTGAAAAAGTTATGTGAGTGAGAGAAAAAGGAAGGGTGAATTTGTGATTATAACCCCAAAATGCCTACATGGTTATCCCTTTCCTCCCAAGAAAAATTTTTGATGTATTTTGTCTTGCGTAAGAGAAAAAAAGAGAAAAGAATAAATATTAAAACACAGTGTTTTCAGAGTGTTATATAGCGATGCCCTGTTACTTTTGCATTCACTACCTCAGACCCCTTGGCGTATCGACACCTTCTCAGAAGGAAAGGCTCTGAGGACGCCTTTGTCAACTATTTCAGGNCATAGCGATGCCCTGTTACTTTTGCATTCACTACCTCAGACCCCTTACCTTCTCAGAAGGAAAGGCTCTGAGGACGCCTTTGTCAACTATTTCAGGTCACCTTTAGTCAACTAGAGTTTCTGGGGTTTGCTCTTATGTTCCAGAGATTTAAAAGAATGATTGCGTTTAAAAAATACCTGCACACTCCTAAAGTTGTGTGTGCACTGAGGAAGTGTGGGTGCCCTGAGTCACTTGGGATGGTGTGAGTTGCAGTCACAATTCAAGGCTTAAGCCACAGATTCCTACCCCTTCAGGCTCTGACCGACCCTCCAGGCTCCTGTGCTTCAAGGGGAGGGTGGGGTCCTGGCCTGTGTGGCTGATTTGATTGAGTGCGCCCCCTGCACCAAAGGTCGCTGGTTTGATTCCCAGTCAAGACACACACCCAGGCTGTGGGTTTGATCCCTTGCGCATGCTCTCTCTCCCTTCCTCTCTTTCTAAAAAGTCAATAAAGACATATTTTTTAAAAAGAAAAAAGAAAAAGGAGAGGGAGGGGCAGTGGAGGTGAGAGGGGCTTAGTTTCCTTGGAGGACTGCTCTTAGGCATCCAGTCTAGGAGGGTGTTTAACAGATCACTGACTGTTGGCATTAGCACCAACACTAAAAACACAGGCCCCACCTCTTACAGCCGTTGGGGTGGTCGTTACCAAACGAAAGGAAGTAGAAAATAAGGCGTGTCGGCGAGGATGTGGAGAAGTTGGAGCCCTTGGGCACTGTTGGTGGGAATGTAAAGTGGTGGCCACTATGGAGAACAGTAAGGAGGTACCTCAAAAAAATGAAAGTAGAACTAGCATATGATCCACCAATTCTGTTTCTGGGTATGTACCCCCAAAGAATTGAAAGCAGAGACTCAAACTGGTATTTGTATCCTCGTGTTCATAACAGCATCACTCGCAATAGCCCAGGGCGAAAGGCACAGGAACCTGCACCCCAGGTGAGCGGGGAGACTAAAGGTGTTCAGCCAGCCTTCAGCAGGGAGGGGTCTGACAGGCGCTGCCCGGGGCGAAGCTCGCAGACGCTGTTCCACGTGAAATAAGCCGTCACAGAAGCACACGCACTGTGTGAGTCCTCTCATACGAGGTACCTAAAGCCAAATTCACTGAGGCAGAGAGCAGAGAGGTGGCTGCCAGGGGCTGGGAGAAGAGGGGGTGGGAAGCTAGTGTTTAATGGGTACAGAGGGTCAGTTTTGCAAGATGAGTTCTTTGCAATGTGCAGGTACTTAATGTCTGAATTGTACATTTCTAAATGGTAGCATTAATGCTGTGTATGTTTCACCACAATTAAGAAATACATTTTTTTTTAAAAACAAACAAACCAGAACAGAGCCCCTCAGTTTGTAACCCAGAGCCTCGGCATCCCGGCGGTGTTAGGAGACACCCAGGGAGCCCAACTTCCTAGCAGAGCAGCAGTGGGTACCGGCAGGCGAGCTGGGGCTTCTGAGTGAAAGACCAGGGAGGGACAGACTGCTGTCCCGGGGAAGAAATGCTCCATTTTCAGCATTACTTCACTGTAAACTTTTCCAGTCAGTCACTACGTAGGACCCACATCTCAGAGGCCTCAGTGCCACTGTTATCAGCATGTGAGGCACTCTCCAGGGAGAAAGAGAGGTCCTGCCAGAAGCAGACAGGCTCTGGAAACAGAAGTAGTAGTTTTCTGTTGCACGGACAGGGAGGACTGTAGAAATGGGGACAGAAGTGGTCAGACCTCTGGTGAGCACACAGGGCTACAGACCAGTGATCTGACTTCCCCTGCTGGGCGGTGTGACTGGTTGGCGCCCTGGCTTCAGACCTCAAGTGAAGCTCTGAGAGTCTTCTAATCCCTGTGCATGCTAAGCCTGGCTGTGGGCTGGATAACTGTCTCCTGCATGTAAATAAGACTTTTTCAGATTTCTGCAGACTCTGCTGAAATTAAGAAAATAATTTCAAAATAATTTATTTTGAAAGGAATAGATTTCCTAGTAGCTTTTGATCAAGCTGAGCCAAAGGGTACTTATACCCAGGAAATGTGAGAACCGCAGGACTGGGTGTGTGGACTCTAAAGATGGCTATTAACAGATTGTCCATCACTCAAAATAAGGAGAGCATCATGCATGTTCCCAAGATCTTAGCCAACAACTTCACCCTACAATGAGACCGGGAAAACCCTGTCATTATGCAGCTAAGCAAGGAATTGGGTGATCAATCCACTTCAAACTTGGACAGCTTTATAATGGCATATCACCCAAAGACATTTGGGGGCATGGTGGAAAAGCCTTGGCCAATCCCACCTGCCAGTGGATCTGCCCAGCCCTCCTGCCTGCACCTTCCCGTTGCGCCTCTCCTTGGGCCCACACGTAGGGGAAAGCCAGGCTCACTGACCACAGGCGCTTCTGCGCTGCCAGCCTGCTAACATGGACATTTTTCTTGCTTCCATTCAGGATTTTGGAGGTAGACATAAAAATGATAACATGAGCTTCTGTGTGCCAGCCAGTGTACTCGGCACACTGCATACTTGTTTTCTAATCGTAGAAACTGTGAGTTGTCTCAGAGTCCTGGGTGATCATCACCAGCATAGTTTCCTATGTGTGTGGAGACAGAGTGGGGAAGCAACTGCTGTTTGAGCTGAAGTCCAGGCCCGCCTCCGAGGGGAGGCGCTCCTCTCGTACAGGGCAAACCAAAGCCCACTTTCAAAACGTCCCTTGGCCCACTTACCGGATGCCTGCAGCTACCACACCAGCCCCTGAGGTCAGGCTGGGAACTCTGGGGAAAGGACCACGGGCTCATGGTCACAAACGGGGCAGGTCAGAGCAGGCTGCACGCCGAGGCGCCCTTCCCTGACGTGTGTGGGAGGAGGGACTGTCACGGGCCTTCACTGCTATTCCCGTGGAGAAGCAGGAGGACAGCAGTTCGCTGAGGCCTAGAGCAAAAGAATTGCCCTGGCACCTCACAGAAACTCGGAGTTCATTTTAAGGAGCAGCTGCTTGGTGGATGGCTTTTTCAGGAGACCCTTCCTGACTACACCAGTAGTGCTATGAATAAAGAGTGAGCCTGCGCTCCCTGCCCGTTGCCCCTGCCGCAGTCCCCAGCTCCCCAGCTTAGCCAGAACCTTCGCCTTTCTGGGACACGGTAGCTGTAGGTTTTCACACATCAACAAGTGGCATCTTCACCAAAGAAAGAGAAATACCACCTACGTATGAATTTGCTACTCCCCACTGCAGTAGACGTCTCCCTGTATTCAACCTTGAGCCAAATAATTGGTGCCATAACAGTATTTAAACCATGAGCAACACTGAGCTGTCCCATCCCATGTGATTTTATGGCAGAATCTTAGAAAATCCTGTCCCTGGGCTGCACAGTGTGAAGGGTCCCCGCAAATGGCATGGCCCTCCGGAATTTCAGAGAGTAAGCTTTTTTGGAAATAGGGTCATTAAGATGAAATCACACCAGGTTAGGGTGGGCCCTGCCTAGATGACTGGTGTCCTTGAGAAGAGGAGAGAGGACACTCAGGAGAAGGCCAGGTGAAGACACAGGAGCCAAGGGTCCTGGCTGTCCCAGGGCTGGGAGTGCGCATGGAACAGGTTCCCCTCGGGCCTCGGGACCCTGCGGTGTTGGACTTGCGCTTCCACAGCTGAGACGGGAAGTTTCTGCTGTTTTCAGCCGCAGGCCTGTGGTAATTTGTTACAGGGCCAGGTACCCCTGCCCCCCCCCCATGTGTTGATTTTCCTTTCTTCCGGGAAGTCCATGGGATCGACAGTTGTGACTCTGGTCTTTAGCTCTCTAGGGAAGTAAATTTCTGCCTCGCTGTGCCTCATCCCAGAAAAATAAGCAGCATTTCATCAGTAAGAAGGGAAAAGATGTGTGGCTGGTGAATGCTAAGCAATTCTCGTGCTTAGAAATTGTGCTGGCTGGCTTTATGTGTTTCTTTAAGAGCCTGAGGAGGAACCAGACAGTGTGTCCTTCACCAGGAAGGGAAGGCTGTGACTGGATGTCACTGTGGACCACACTTTGTGACCCCCGTCACCCTCACTACTTGCCCCCACACACTCACATGCCTGTTGCTGGAACAGGCACCCTAGGGGTGAACCTGTGGGCCCGGCTATAAGCTGTGAGTCACTGGCAGAGTCCTCCATTCCCAGGGGATCCCCACCAGCCCCAGGGCCTGAACACTTGGGCAGTTAAAGGCCCCACCCAAGCAGAGCAGAGGCCCAGGGCCTGCACACACCCTGAGTGCCACGTAGTCCTGTCCCCGGCAGGAAATAAAGGAGAGTGAAGTGTGCTGCTTTTCTGTCTCTTGGTGTCCTGCGTTTTACAGCTCATTGCAATTTAAAGAATCAAAATATAGTGGACTGCTCCAAATCACTTGGATTTGAAAATCATGCAAGCAACTGCCTCAGGGATAGAGAGGGGAGGGGAGGGGAGGGCTATGCACTGGTGCCTGGGTACAGGCACACGGGGGACTGGGAAGCCGCACCAGCTCCTACAGCCACCTGTAGGGTGGTAGACTCTGGGAGTGGGCTTGCTTGGTGTCTTAGAGAAGAAATAATTTTCCACTCCATAGTTATAGAGATCTCGGCTGCAGCCTTTATAAAGGTACATGAAACAGTGTCTGCTAAGCCCAGTAATTTGGACTTCTTTTCGGAATGGCTTCAGGCCAAAAATATAAAACAACAACAGCAAAATCTACCATGTTGATAATCTAATGGCCCAAAATCAACACACAGGGTGAGGCAAAAGTAGGTTTAGTTGTTCGTATGGGAAATCATGCAATAATTAATAAATAATGGTAAAAGAATTAATTCTGTGTTTCAAATACTCACAATTGTGAACCTACTTTGCCCCACCCTACATGAACTCTGGGCTGAGAGCAGAAGGGTATAATACATTTACTGATTGGTGACCCTTTGCATTTAGTAAATTAAACATATATCAAAATGTCCTGTTCTAGGAAAATGGATGCCAATTTTCTCTTCTTCTTCTTTGCCCAGGTTGGTGGACAATTTTTGTGTTTGCGAAGGGTACAGTGTGCCTCGCTGCCTCATGTATGAGATTTACATGGACACCTGTGGGCAAAATGCCCAGAACCAAGTCAATCCAGCCACATTTGGGAAGGTAAGTTGTGAAGATAAAAGTACAGTGTTCATTGAGTTTTAAAAAAAAGGAAGTACCCACATGAATTGATGAGGCAAGGTTAGGATTTGTTTGGCTCTAATGGGTTCTCAGTGGGTATAATTTGGCTCTGCTTGGGGAAGCCAACCAGTTGGCCAACACACTACTGCATCTCCATGGAAAAGCCATCCTTTCTTTGCCCACGCTTCATAGTGAGGGCCCAGGAAGGTAAGGAACGGGGTGATACCTCAAGAGTGCCACTGTGGCAGCTCCAAATACCTGAGTTTGCTGGGCCCTTACTCCCTGTGTGGAAATGCCCAACCTCAGCTCCACATAAGCTCCAGGAGCCACTTTGTCGCATCAAACAACTGATGTTTCCCACAATTTGGTCTTACTTAGAGAACTCATTGACTCTTAAAGATTTCCTCTGAAAGTTAAGAGCCCTGTCAGGAACTTTGTTTAGACCATATAATATTCAGACAATGTTAACACAAGGATAGTCTTCTGAGACCCTCCATATTTAATAAGTATTTATTGAGCAGCCTCTGTGTGCCAGGCACTGTTTTAGATGCTGGGGATACAACAATGAAAAAGACATTTCTACCCTCACTGAACTTATTGTATTATGGTTGGGGGAGACAGGGAAATTAGATAAAATATATAGTATATTAGATGGGATAAATGCCAAGGCAGAATACAGAGCAGAAAGAGCTAGGACTCTAGAGGAAAGAGATATCTTGTCCAGTCCAATTGCAAGTTTGACTGGGTCTCATAGACTCTAATCCAGTGCTGTCCAATAGAAATTCAATGGGAGTCATGGACATAATTTTAAATATTTTACTATCCTCATTTTTGAAGTTTTTTAATGGTGAAAATAATATTTTATAATTTTTAAGTTTAATCCAAAATATTAAAAATATTACCTTTTCACCAGGAAATCAATATTAAAAATCACCAAGTTATTTTTTCAATCTTTTCTCCAACAAAATTTTCCAAATCCAGTGTATTTTACATGCAAGCCCATCTCAATTCAGACTAGCCACACTTTAAGTGCTTATCAGCCACATGTGGCTGGTATTTCCCATCTGGGTCAGCGCAGCGAATGGTGGGTCACCAGGCACCTCCTCCCTCCCCCGGAGCACCCCTGGGCGGCCGGGGCTCTGCGGCGCTGCACTGGCTGGGCCAGGCCCCAGCCTTCTCCTGGCTGCCTGCCTGGCTGTCTTGTCAGGTGGAAGTGGGGTGACTTCCGCTTGACATGCTTTGGTTCTGTAGGATCCTTACTTCCTTTTCTAAGAAACCAAAGACTGTTTTTCAAAATCTGTTTTAGATTTTCTTAGAAGTTGTTTCAGTCCCACTGCAGAGTATTCCACAGGACAAGTTAAAAAGAGACTCCAGTGTACAATGGGCATTTCATTAGCATTTTTCATCTTAATCCTGCCTTAGCATCCATTCCCCAAGACACTAGCTTGCAGCTCTCCTTGGGAATTCGCCTGAAGAGTGGGCCAGTCCAGTGGAGCTGGGATTGGGAAGGGAGCCTTTGCTGCCGGCTCTGTGACAACAGAGAAGGGAGAGGAAGGGGGACAGGATATGATCCCAAAGCATGTTTACAAGAGAAACAACAAAATACCCAATTCCCGTTTCCTCCCCGCTCCCCCGGGAGCGGAGTCAGTTCCCGGCTCCACAGTGGTTCCTGTGCAGATGTGAGAAGGTTTCTCATTCCTTTGGGCAGTGCTGGGCATGTGAGGGCGACACTCATTCCTGCTGCAAGTGATAACCTTACTGGACGAGGGGATTTCCATAACACTGACTTCCTTTTAAAAATAACTTTTACTCATGTTTTTCCGATTATATAAGTAACACATTCTCTTTAGAGAAAATGTGGGAATTAGAGAAAAGCGTATAAAAAGAAGAAAATAAATACCGGCTATGGCCTTGCCATCCAGAGATGTAGCCTGCGTGTGGTTCATGTGCATGCTCATGCGCATGTGCACACACGTGCCCCGCCGGAGCTGGGGAGAGATCACACAGAGAGTTTGAACCTGCTCCTTGGGTGGCCCTTCCTAGGCCCCAATGAGCCTTGGAGCTGGCAGCGGGACCTCTCTGGAAATCCTTGGGTGCTACAAAGCCCTGTTGTCACTCTAATTTATCCAACAGTGTCAGTCTGCTGCTTATAATGTTGTTCCACGTTCTGAACTGGGGTCAAGGTGGAAGCTTTTCCCACCTCCTCCAGTGTGGTTTCTTGCCAGCAAAGAACTAGGTGTGGGGCTGCTTCTTCCCTCCCCCCTCTCCTGCCCCCCCTCACTGGGGGTTGGTTTGACCCCTCCAGGAGGGGAGGTGAAAGGGGCTGGGAGGGTCCTCCTGCACAGCTTCCCCAGTCATGTCTGGGGACTAGGCAGACTCTTATCTCCTGGTCCCTTCTGTGGCTTCTTCAGAGTAGCCCCCGGGGGTGTTCGCACACGCATCCCTTGCCTGGGTGACTGACTCGTTCTGAAGCCTGACTGCCCGTCCCGGGGCCCTCGCGAGGCAGAGCCCGGGCTGTCCCACACGGCAGCTCTTCACGGAAACTCCTCAGCCATTGTTGACGTGAGAGGACTATGGGTAAGCCCCCTGAAACCAGGGCAGTAGCCACTCTCCTCTGCCAGTCCACCAAGGCCGCTGGCCAGCCTGTCTCTCATCTGCCAGGACTCCTGTGCCACAGCCAGACACTAACTGCAGGAGCTTCACAATAACTCTCTAGTGAGTCCATGAATCCCCTTCTGCCAGGCCCATCGCACACACCCTTCCCAGGTAAGAGAGTGGTCTTGCCACAAGAAATGCCCTCACACTTCCTCTTCTCTCTACCTCTTTGTGGATGATTGGAATTTTAAAACCAAATTTTTGCTAAATGCCTGAGAGTGTGAGCCCCTGCTATGTGTCTCACAGGTCACTCTGCTTCCTGTGGTCTTCATGGCTCATCCTGCTGTACGGATACTATGTAGGTGGATGGACTGAAAGAAGGATGTATGCATGGATGTACAGACAGACTGGTATTCGGACAGACAGGTGGGCTGACAGATAGACAGAATGCAATTTGGCACACTTTTTGTCAGCACTAAGCCTAGAATTAGACTAATTAGGTTATAACCCTGGGCAAGTTATTTAACCTTTTTGTGCCTCAAGTTCGTCATCTGTAAAATGAGAGTATTCATAATGTTAATAGTACTAACATGATGACATGCTTTTAAGAAATTAATGAGAAAGCACACGTAAAGAGAATTAAATAATCTTGGTGCATGGGAAGCACCCAAGAAACATTAACTATGATAATTATATGCCTATTTTCATCCAGAACATCTTAAACTTTCACATTAAAATATTCAGTGCACCCGGCCGGGCGCGGCTCAGCGGCTGGGCATCAGCCTAGGATCCAGGAGATGGTGGTTCGATTCCCGGTCAGGGCCCGGGCCCGGGTTGGGGGCTTGACTCCCATCTGGGGGCTTGGAGGGGGCACCTGATCGGTGATGACTCTCATCATCGATGTTTCCCTCTCTCCCTGAAATCAATAAAGACATATTAAAAACACACACACACGCACACACACACACACACACGCACACACACATACGCACACACATTCTCCCACGCACATTGTAAAATGGCTAAAGATCCTTTTTGGATGTTCCAGAACTCTTCCAACCATCCTCTTTCCTGGAAACTTAGGTTAAGATCTTTCTCTGTTATAAGTAACATTAAGTGCCTGGTCATCTCCCCAGGAGAGACTCTAGACAATTACAGCCAATTCACACCGCTCGTGGCCGTCTTGGCATTCTTACCCAAACCTGTAATGTCCTTAGCCTAGAACACTTGCTGGTGAAGGACTGTGTTTCGCTGTCTCCGCGTGCGTGTGGGGTGGTCAGGAAGGTAAGCACTGTGGCAGGTGTTCTGGCCACATGTGCATTGTGTGTACACGTGACACCACCAGACCACTTTCTGTTGGTGCGTCAGTGTTTTTCCTATGGATTTATGTGAGCTCTCTCTATATTAAGTATGTAAATTTTTTACTTATTACATGTTTTGGAAATAATCATCTCAGTTGGTTTTTAAATTTTAACTGTGGTGTGCTTGATCATAAAATGAAGTCACGGGGTCATTTGGGGTTGGAAGTGCTCAATAAAGTCAACTACAGGTTATTACACCTCCAGACAACTAGGCAAGTTATTTCTGCTTCTCCCTCCAGAACACCAGACTACTTCCCAGGGCTTGAATCTGAGCCTGCTGTATGCTCTGTAATAATCCCATTAGGTACCTACTATCTTTCAACTAGACACATAGGGAAGGTTTTAATTGATCTTCTTAAGAGGAGATGAAATTGTAAGAATCTGTTGTTGAAAGTAAAATTTCTGGCTTCTAATTCTGCACTTAGACTTCACTGACTTTTTCTTTGATCTCCTATCATTTATTTTTCATGTGTACATTTTGGTCTCCTTCCCTGAAGGAACCTGTCAATTTGGCCTCATGACCTTGACGTTTAATTGTGCAGGACTTGCCTTCCCTGTTCCTTCCTTCTCCTCCCCCACACCCAGACTTGGGAGGCTCCTGTAGGGAGACGTAGGACCTGGGGCCAGACAAGAGGAATGTTTTATGACACTGTCAAATCCTGCTGCTTGGAAGCTAAGGAAAAAAAAAAAGAGGGGTGCAGCAGGAAATCACCAGAAGCGGAGGCTGAGTGATTGTGGAGGGGTGTAGAAGAAGAGCAGAAATCCTGACCTGACTGTTGGGAGCACCGCGTCTCCTTGCCCCGCATCTGTGCAATTTCATCAGGCCGCAGGGCCTCACTGTCAGCAGGCATGCCTTTGGCCCACGCATGCCCTGGCCCTCTCATAACGAGGAAACAGAACAGACTTCTATTTTTTTTAATGTTATTGATCATAAACATAATATCAGTGCTACTTAACAACGTGCATTAAAATGGTAACTGGGAGGTGAGAAGCGGAGTCAGAAGTAGCTATGTTATTCAGAGTTGTAATAGCCTTTGCTAACAAAACCTGTACAAGGAACAAATTAGGTAAACAAATGAATAATAAAATGTGAAAATGATCACGTTGGAAAAAGAGGAAAACAGTAAAATTATGGGGCACTCACACGATGGACTATTATGCAGCTGTTAACCCCTGTTTTCAGAGAATTCGTAATGACCAAAGGAAATGTTTGTGGTTCCACGTGGAGGGAAGCAAGTGGAAAGCAAGACTGCAGACATGCTCGTGTGGTGTCAGTCGTTTCATGTATGTAGCATAGAACACGGGCACCTATGGAGACTTTGATAAAAGACTAGACGGAACCACATCGGGGTGCAAATGGTGATTTCCTCTGAGTGGTATGTTTTCTTCTTTATACTTGTCTGATATTTTTCAAATTTCATTTACACATATTTTCTTTATCATCGGAACAGAGGAAGTATAGTTTATGTAGTGTGAGAGGAGAAATCGGAAGTTTTATTTCTAAATTTTTGAATTAAAACTTGAAACCTGACTTATTATTTTAGCTTGTGCACTTGGTTTTTCCTGGTCTTGTCGCCCCGAAGCCAAGCACGAGAGGAAGTGCCAGGTAGGTTTGTCATTTTTGTTTTACTTTAAATGTTAAAAAAATTTTGAAAAAAATCACAAACTAAGTGACTAAAAAAGTTCAAAATGAAACAAACTATAAATATCAACTCTTATCAGAGAGTTCCCACAATTCAAATGGAGATCCTAGTGCCTAAAATGATTCAGGTAATGTTAGAACCAAATATTAATGTCTGTTTTCTCAGCAATTTTGTTGAAATACAAAAGTCGCAATATATATTTTTCTGTCTCAGCAACTTAAATACTTAGAGATGTAAATGTCTAATTGTTGAAATATTTAAATAATTACACACACAGAATAATAGAACTGTTTTAATTACTGTTTGAGCTAAAGCTTCCAAGTATTCATCTAATTAGCATATTTGAACTATATTCAGGAGACTAGGTACCCAGGCTATATTTTTAACACAAAAAGAAATTTCAGTGTTATATGGTGCATGGTGTTATAACTGTCACTCAGTTATCATTGTTACTTGTTGTTTGTTTTAAAACAAGAAAAATCAGGAGATATCAGGAAATCAGTGGGAAGAAATGGAAGCCAAGTTAGAAGAGGGGCCTGCAAGCTTGAAGCAGTGAGTCGAAAACAGGGGAAGAGTCTGCCAAACTCAGTACTGCCCAACAGTTCATTTGAAAACTTTAGTTGCACTGCTAAGAGCCTGGACCAGCTGCGGCTCAGCAGAGGAGCCCCTGGGGTGCAGAGGGCCCAGCCCAGCTCCCAGCGCCCAGCTCTCAGCGTCCAGCTCCCAGCGTCCAGCTCCCAGCGCCCAGCTCTCAGCGTCCAGCTCCCAGCGCCCAGCTTCCACCTCCCACCTCCCAGCTCCCAGCTCCCAGCTCCCACCTCCCACCTCCCACCTCCCAGCTCCCACCTCCCAGCTCCCAGCTCCCAGCTCCCAGCTCCCACCTCCCACCTCCCAGCTCCCACCTCCCA